TTTAATAAGATTATGGAGGATCGTAGTTGGATGTATAGGCGTCGAACTCCACGAGGAGAGATATAATGAGTTCTATAGTGGAGTTGAATATTTCCTTCAATTTGCATACAATAGCCTTGGTCTTCAACCGAATGATTTAATTAGATGTCCTTGTACTAAATGTTTTAATTTACCGTTGATGACTCAGGAAATGGTATGGGACCATCTTACTAAGTATGGTTTTATGAATGCTTATTTTGTTTGGTGGGCACATGGTGAGACATTTGTGAATTCAGCAGATCCATGGTCTGCTACTAATCTGGGAGAATCATCACATAGCCAAGATACACACCATGATGAAAGGAATGACTTTTGTGAAATGGTGTATGATGCATTTTGTCCAGAGGATGATGATAATCGGGAAATGGAAGGTAATTTCCCCAATCAACATCTGGATGAGGAACCAAACAATCAAGCAAAGGCATTTTATGACTTGCTTCATGCATCTACAATTCCACTAGGTAGTGCTAAAAGAAATGAGACAGTGCTTAGCTAGCTTTCTTATATGTTGCATACAAAGACTGCAAATAATATAACTGCTAATGGTTTTAATGCCATTCTTAAAGGATGTAGAAGGTTGTTAAGTGCTGAAGATCAAGAAAAAGTTCCTTCAAACTTTTATGAAGTAAAAAATATATGAATGGGCTTGGGTTAGGTTATCTAAAAGTTGATGCTTGTGTTAACAACTACTTTTTATACTATGGAGAGCATACGAAAACATTGACTACATGTCCAATTTGTGGAGAAGTGAGGTATAAATAGAGAAATCCAGGGAGGAATAGATAAAAGGACATTCCGAGGAATTCTCTTTGGTACTTTCCAATAATACCTCGCCTTTAGAGGCTATACATGTCTCGAAAAATAACTAAGCACATGACATGGCATTTGAAATGTTGTGGTGATACGAATGATGTCATTCATCCAGCACAATCAAAAGCATGGAGACATTTTGATCAAATGCATCCTTCTTTTAAAAGAGAACCTCATAATGTTTGATTAGGTCTTGCTACTGAAGGTTTCAACCCATGGGCTCATTCTTCAACCTCCTACTCTTGTTGGCCAGTTTTTTTAATTGTTTATAATTTGCCACCAGAGATGTGCATGCGACCAGAGTTTACTTTTCTTCCATTGGTCATTGCCGGTCCAAAAAGCCCAGGCAAAAATATCGATGTTTTCCTTCGACCTTTAAGTGAAGACTTGAAAATGTTATGGTTGACTGGTGTAGAAACATATGATAGTTATCGTAAGCAAAACTTTATAATGCGGGCTATGTTGATGTGGACCATAACTGATTTTTCGGGTTATGGTATGGTGGCTGGTTGGAGCACTCATGGCCAATTGTAATGTCCTTACTGTATGGAGATGACACAATCTTTTTATCTTCAAAATGGTCGGAAACCATGTTTTTTTTATTGTCATTGTCAGTTTTTACCAGAATCACATTCTTTCAGATTTGATCAGAGTAATTTCTTGAAGGGTCGGGTTGAATTAGGCAGTCCCCTTCCTCGATTGGATGGTTTTTCAATGCGTCATCTAGTTGAAAACCTTCCTGATGTGTTGTTTGGGAAACCCTTTGAAAACCAAACAATTGAGGGTTTTGGGAACATCCATAATTGGGTGAAAAGATGCATTTTTTGGGAGCTTCCTTATTGGCATGATAATCTTATTTGACATAATCTTGATGTAATGCATTGTGAGAAAAATTTCTTTGATAATATAATACACACTGTTATGAATGACAATAAGACAAAAGACAATGGGAAAGCAAGATTGGATTTAGCCATTTATTGTGACCGAAGAAAATTGCACATGGGATATAATACGCATGATAAGCTTGTGAAACCTAATGTTAGTTATGCACTAACATCTGAAAAACAAAAGCTTCTATGTGCATGGCTAAAACAGTTGCGTTTTCTAGATGGGTTTGCTTCCAACATATCAAGATGTGTCAACTTGAATGAGTCTAGGTTATTTGGGATGAAAAGTCATGATTGTCATGTTTTCATGCAAGGACTAATTCCAGTTGCTTTTCACGGTTTATTGCCATCTGCTATTTGGGGTCCTTTGACCGACATTAGTAACTTCTTTCGTTCACTTTGTTCCCCGGTCATTAAAGTTACTGAGATGCAGAAGTGGGAGGCAAAGATTGTTGAAATAATTTGTAAGTTAGAAATAATATTCCCCCCCAGCATTCTTTGATTCTATGGAACATCTAGCAATTCATCTTCCATAT